TCCTGCCTTAAAGCACAGTCCTCTTTCCATTAGACTCTGAGGACATTCCAATCCTACTGAGAAATCAGGGAAATCTAAGAAGCATGGACACAGAGGCACATATTTTTAACCTTCCTCACAAATTTCCTTTGGCTTAGCTTCTTCAGGTTCCTGAATAACGTTCATGCTAGTCCCTTTTAACTCCCCAGTAGTATACTGCCTCTCCTAGGAATCCTGGTTACAAAGTTCTTTATTCATTCACTTGGATCACCCCTTATGTGGTAAGTGGCTGCCCTAAGCAAAGGAATGGGCTTCTATTCAAGAGTATGAACTTGCTTCCCTTAGAGAACTGCTAGAAGCAAACTAGTGTCATGAACAGAACACTGAATTTGAAGACCTGGGGTTTGGATCTAAGCTGACTCCAGAGCCTCCACTCCCAACCCCACTGGCACCCCAACATAAAAAAAAGAATCATTAAGATTGTACTTTGTGGGACACCTGGGTGGCTCAGTGGGTTAAACGTCTGCTTCAGCTCAGGTCATGATCTCAGGGTCCTGGGATTGAGTCCCACATCAGGTTCCCCATTCAGCAGAGAGCATGCTTCTCCCTCTCCCTCTCCCTCTGCTGCTCTCCCCGCTCATTCTCTCTCTCAAATAAATAAAATCTTTTTAAAAAAGAAGAATGTACTTTACAAAACATAAAGGTATCCAAAGTTGAGGTGTTCTCCCTTTCATCTACTTCCGCCTCTAAGACGTAAAGCAATCTACTCTTTTGCTTGCAATTCTTTCTGCCATCCAATAATCACCTCAAATGTCCAAGCAAGAAGCTAGAAGAGGAAAACTCAAGCCTGTCTGGTTTGTTTGCATGACAGAAGCTCAGGGTAGGCTCCGTAACAGGTTTGTTTTCAGGCAGATATTGGAAGCTTTTCTCCTGAAGAGAAAAAATGAGTTAGATTCTAGTCTCCTGGAAGATCCAGCTAACACCTTGTCCAGCAGGAACGCACTCCACAAAATACACGGACAATCCCTCTCCCCAGAACCTTTGCCAGACCTGGCCCAGCCTGGTCCTTTGGAAATACATAACTGAATATTCCTCACAACTCACTTGTTCCACCTCACTTTAATCCATCGTTCATTAACCACGTTAGAACTGCCAAAAGAGGCAAACTCTTCAGTGTGCCTGTCCCATATTTGCATGAATTATCATGCGCTGAATGTTACGCTCCTTTGAACTTCAAAAGAGCTTCCTGGCCTTTTTGACTACAACTTCAACAACAAAGCATAATGGAGTTCCTGAAAGAACCCCCCTCCTCCCCAACCCCCCAGCCGCCTCCGCTTTGGACTTCAAACCTTGTTGCTTCTGGACAGTAACAGACTTTTCTATAAGTCACACATGGCTCTGTCATCCATTGCAATGCACCATCAGGACTCCCTAGGTTCCAGAAGCCCACTTGTCTCCTGGGAGAGCAACATAACTAACAGCTAATTGGCTACTAGCAAGTGGCAGCCCTCCCTTTCCTTGTGAAAACAGCCTTCTGCAAATATGGCCTTTACTCCAGACCTCTGCATATACTACACCAACCAAGTGAGCCTCTTTGACCAAATGGCATGCCCCCCTCCTTCCACCCTGATGCCCAAGACAGGAGACCGAACAGACTGCAGTGTGTGCATTGATATAGGAGCTTCTACTGAAATCAACCCATGAAGGGTCAAAACCCTTGTGTAAAATGGCATCAGGCAGCAAGGAGAGACATAACAATGTATTACCTTTACACTTCTAGGTTTCCCGGAGTTTTCCCAGATTTTTATCCCTGTCATAAAAGTCATACTTGCCAAATGTGGAAACTCCAGAATAAACAAGCACAGAGATGAGCAAAAAGAAGTCATGAGCCTACCACCCACAGATAAAAAAAAAAATTAGCTCCCCACTGCACACTATACATGACTATAAATTTTAGATGGAATAGAGAACTATGGGTAAAACCCCACATTATGGAAGCAGTAGAAAAAAAATATTACAGAGTGAGTGGTAAGGACCTCCCTGGGAAGAAGAAATTTCGAAGCCATAAGGGAAATAAATAACTGATCTGACGACACCAACACTTAAAACCTCCCCATGGGCAAATCCATCTTAAAGTTTAAAGCAAAGGACAGATGGGAAAAATAGTATTTTAAATACAAAAGGTCACTAACAAGTTTCGATCTAACAAAATGTTCATAAGTAAGTTCTTACCGACCGCAAAGACAAGCAACCTAACTACAAAATGGGCCAGTCACTGAAGAAATTCAATTGGATCGAAAACGAATTGCAAAGATATGCCAGTAGTAGGAAAATACCATAGCAAAGCTGTAGCATGATTCCCCCCATTAAATGGGCCACAAGATACAAAGATTAATTATACTTTTAGTAAAGGAGGTAGAGAAGGACACTCAGACAGTGGAAGTATAAATGGATGCAACGCATTCTGGAGGATAATTTGACAGTGCTCACCAAGGTGAAAACCCAACATCCACTCTGACCAAATGATTCCTCAAAAATACTTGCCTAATTGCCCAAAAGGTATTCATCAACACCTTAGTTTTAATAGCAAAAACTGGAAACAACCTCAATATAAACAACTAGTGACTGGTTAATTAAGCCGTGGCACACTTATACGACGGGGAACTATGCAGGCATGAGAAAGAATATGGCACGGTTATACAGCAAGGCTCTGACGTGAAGGAGGCCCAGACACATATCTGAATTATAGATTATAGATTATAGATTATAGAAAATACATGTCGTACCCCATCTTCGTAAAAGAAAAAAAAAAACCAACAAACACATACGTGTGTTTTTAGGACACAGAGAAAAGAGTTTGGAAGATCACATAGCAAACTATTAGTAATGGCTACTACCCCTGGGAAGGGCATTGGTAGCTGAGGGACGAACTTTCTTTATAAAGCCCAGATACTTTCAGATCGTTTTGGACGACGAGTATTATTAATTTTAAAATTTAAGAAAATTAAAAAGGACTTAATTAAGCATTTCACGGGGCTCTCAAACTTATGATATGCACTGTTTTTAATGGTAGCATGAGAGTATGTTACAAACATCGTTTATGAAACCAACCCCAAGTGGACGGGCATTTCCACTGCTTCTGACTTCTCCCTATTAGAGCTGCAGTATAAATCTCCATGCATACCTTTTATGTATGCATGTGTGTGTGTGCGTCTGTGTGTATCAAGGCAACATACAGAGAGCATATGCTTTGAGATTTCCCCTTTAGTGGAGATAACTTAGCACATGTCCTCAAGACAGTTAGCTTGGGCATGGCCACACGGAATGACCCTGAACCGCTCATTCGGGGAACCATACCCTTAGCCTCATCATCTGACTATATCCCAGAAACAGTAGAAGAGAACTGGGGGGTCTAGGCCATCTACTATGTAATCATTTTGACACCAACAGAATATTAAAAGGGCTTGGGACAAATTCGTGGGCAGGAGGGGCCTGTAAATATTTTTGAAGTCCTATTTTTCTTTGGTTTGTTAATTAAGCTCAAGATTGCGTGGACAGTAATCTTCAAGTCTTCATACCTATGGAAGACTTCCCAGAAGAGATGGTCTTCCAAGAGTTGCAAGCTTTCCCTTATCAAGCCATCAGTAACAGTTTCTTCCTACGAGAGCAAGGATCTTAGGCCCAGCTGGGTTGTAACCGGAGCTGAGGATGAATGGACAACTTTTCTATCACAGCCACTCAAAGGAGAGTTTTCTGGCAGAAGGAGGTCATTTGAGGGAAACAGGAGAGAGAGAGAGAGACTGATTCAGAGTTTCCTTGCTGAAACCTGGGCCCTGCTAGACTTCTTCTCGTGTCCCCATCACGCTAGATATCACCACAGGTCACTTGTGCTCAGAAGCCTAATCAAAAGCACCCCTTCTCCCGGGAAGAAGACAGAGAGGAATATGAAAAGCACAGGGGGACAGAAACACACGTCATGGTGGAATGGATTTGGCACCGCTCTCCCTGTCAGCAAGCCTCTCGCCGGCTACAGTCGACTTCCGCTGATAAAGGAGATAAATGTTTCAGTGATGGGCTTCAGATGCTGCTGCAGCTCCTACCAAGAAGATTTTCACAGTTCCTCCTCATGAATAAGTTCAGTGGAGCAGAGAATGCCCTTCTTGGCTCATCTCCATTTTATGCTTCTTTTGATGCAGCCAAAGAGGGAAACCCAAGCAATGGCTTTTCCTTCCAATTTAGAGCAAGCGTCCACCCCAGAGAGGCCTGCAAGTGGCCCCAAGAAGGTGAGGCTCGTACTTTCAGCAGAAAGCTCCTAACAAGAGCAGCGATGTCAACGGTTACACATCAATCTCCCAAATGTGGGTAATTATACCCCCTTCCTGCCACTCGGCTTTCTCCAATGTGTTAGCCCATCACACGGATCGCTGACTTTCTAGAAATATTCCCTGGCTTTGCGGGGACGTTCTTTCAATAAACAGCATCCAATTTGCTCACGGTCCCTGGAATCTCAATTTCCTCAAAGGATTTTTCATCTGAATCCAGTTCATGTGAAGGTTTTTTCCTTCTTCGTTTTGTGGCATAAGGGAATAGGCAGAGCCTGCCTTACTTTTTCTTTTTCTTTTTCTTTTCTGTGTTATTCTTTTTCATAAACTGAAAACCTCTGCTGAAGAGTCTGAAATTTGGGAAAAAATCCAGCTCATCTGTCAGATATTTCTAGAGCTACGTAAAATGGAATGAAATTTGTACAGTTTAGAACAGGAAAAGGAAAGTAGGCTAATGTGTCATGTGTTCTAGGAGATGAAAACTATATGAAAATCAGAAAAACAGCCCTAAATTTAGTTGGCCCGATGCAGAGCTCCCATTCTTTTATCAACTCATGCATAAGTCAGTAACATTCACTTTCTTCTCTTAGAATAATTGTATGGCCACATTTGGGCTAAATCACAATCCCTACAGATTATAAGCACATTTTCAAAGAAATTACAAGAAAGTATCATGTTTTTTAATCTCAAGACACTTACGTTTTACTTGCTCTGTTTTGCTTCCTTCTAGGAAAAGAAAGAACAGCAACAAGGAGGAGATATATTTCACACCTCCCATTTTCCACTTCTTTCTCATCTTCGCCACTGCAAAAGGCCACTCAAAACTTTCAGGGCCTGGTGTATTGAAGCGGCTGAGAAGAAAGCAGAAAAAAAAAAAGACTTAGGTCCTCGGAAACTGATGGAGATCACCCAAGCCTAAACTTTTGACTCACCAGGGGGGAAAAATTCTGGAGAATTTATATTAAGTGTAAGCACTGTTTTCCTGTGTGAGAAAGAGCACTTGCCTCTCCTGTCTTGCAAAGATTGTGGGCGGGGGTCGGGTAGGATTCAAGCAGATGAGCATACATTCCTATCCAATGCTAAGGCTAAAATCCTTATAGACATATCATAGGAAAATAAAAACAAATTTTGAAATCATCCTTTCTAACAGAATTAGAGTTGATTTCTCAAGAGATTTTTCTTTAGGAGAAAAGGGAAATGGGTTTGCAAAATGGGTCCTTTGGCAACAAAGATAAAAATAATAGGCACGGGACCCAAAGAATTTCTTTCTTTTTTTTTTAAGATTTTATTTATTTATTTGACAGACAGAGATCACAAGTAGGCAGAGAGGCAGGCAGAGAGAGAGGGGGAAGCAGAGGAAGCCCGATGGAGGGGCTCGATCCCAGGACCCTGAGATCATGACCTGAGCCAAAGGCAGAGGCTTTAACCCACTGAGCCACCCAGGCACCCCCAAACAATTTCTGAAATGCAAGTTAACTCATCTTAGCTTCAAGACTACTGCTACTATTAATCCTTCAGGGAGGGGGGGTAAATCGGTCAATGTTTCTCCTGCATCTTCTAAGAGATCTATAAAGATCTGCAGTTCGGTTACTTTTGTTGGAAAACATGGATGTAGTTAGCAAATGGATACAATTAAACACCTTCACGGGTCAGACATATTGCTCTCACATGAAGTCCACTGCAAAACGGAAGGGACATTAGGCCAATTTATATAGACAATGTGTTCGCACTGCACCACCATGCAGAAGACCATCAAAGCAACTGCAATTCTTTAAAGTATGAGACTTGCATTTCTTGTCTAAGGAGTGGAAATCTTAAGCTGTTTAAGCCTTAGAACACAGAAAGTTTGCTATCGCTCAGGTCCAGCCACAGGTCATTTCCATAGACTTTGGAGTTTGTAAAACCCATCCAGTGGATGGCTAGAAAACATGTAAATGTTCAAGACACTTCAAATTTCAATCTAGGGTTAACCCCAAGTGGGAACTGAGCACACTGATCGTTTCTGAAGGGCCAACCTAAATATTGAGTATAAAGGCAAGATGATCCTTCCTGCTCCTTAAACAAGGGCCAAATTTTCGTAGGACATATTCCTAGCCTCCTGAAGGCGTCGTTCTGACATCTTGGTCCCCGCTGTAAGCTTGTGGTCCAGCTTTTATCACTCAGCACATCTCTGTCCTCTGAGAGCTACCAGGTCCCCTTGAAGCAAATCAACACAGCTACCCACCCCAGCGAGGTTCTATCTGAGCCTACTTTAATAAGCTTATCCCCCAAGCCTTCGAGTGAGAAAGACTTTCTAACCGCTGAAATCCAATTTATCACAATCACATATGGATTTCAGGGGGTATTTTTTGAAACCACAGTTTTCGGGTCTCCCCATGCAAGAACCAACAGGGCTGTTTTTCTTGTACAATGGTTGGGCGATTCGGTGAACAGTAGCATTGCTTCATAACTCAAGCTGGCAAGAAAACGGCTCTCAGAATTTTTTTGCTTTTCTTGGGTCCCAACTGATGTTATGAGCAAATAGAAAAGTTGGTGACGAGAGAGCAATTAATCTCTTTTGGCGTTCCTGTCATCTGTGTGGCCTCCCAGGCTGTGATGGAGAACATCAGAAAATGAATCGCTTTACAAATATTCACTTTTGATTTACAAGATCTGAAGTCCTGTCTTTGTATTCTGTGCAGAAATATAAACTGAGAAGAATTCCCTCCCCAGGACTCCTCCCTGTTCAATGTCGCCTGATCCCTGTAACTTTTTCTTTTGGGGGAGGGAGGTGGTTTCAAGGCATTTGTTCGGACTGCATCAAAAAACCTAACCAAGCATTGCTCAGCAAACATGCCGACTCTTATACTTGCAAAGAGCCAAACTGTCCTTAATTTTTCAAATTATACTTTGACCCAGTTAACTGGAGTTATTTCTGCATTAACTCTCTGCTTCACTCGGGCTGTTGTGCCATCGAACTTGCACTGACTCTCTTACAGGTTACTTAGAAAAGTAGCTCACAGACCTGTTTTGGGGGATCTAGCCCCCACCCAAGAAAGCAAGTAAGAACACAAAATCCTGCAACTAACACTGGGAGGGGGGCGGGGGGGGCTTACAAAAGAACAAGAAACATGTCAGAACCTAAAGAAGTATATCCATTCAGGAACCTCTATGAAACAAGCATTCACAGAGTTCATTAGCAGCAAGCAAAGGGACTGAAGGTTCCTTGCCCGGCTGGAATCACAAGGTAATCTGGGCCATCGAGTGTCAGAAGCTGGGACCGTCTCAGAAGAGGTCTCCTGGGTAGAAGAGAACCAAAGAGACATTCCCAAAGGCTGGCTAAGGGATGAGCATGGCAGCCAGTTCTTCACTGCCCACAATGTCTCTTTAATCCTCCCGAGAGGCTTGACTGCCCTTGTAAACTCACATTTGCTGTCTTCTGTGGGTCAGCCCAGGGGGCAGTGATTCTCTCTGGGCCAAACAACAAGAAGATACTGGGGTCTCAGGCACGCACCTATCCACTGAGATCCTCTCCCCACTCCACCACCCAACAAGAAAAGTTCAGTTCACTGGTGGTGGGTGGCCACCGAAAAAATGGCAGTTCTAGCCCAGGGTGTCTCTAATTAGAGTCAGTGCTTTCACTGCTGCTTATGAGTGACAAACAATGCCTTACATTTGGCTTACAAAACACCTTGCTAGCCATCATTTGGTGTTATTCCCCACAACTCCACCTTCAAAACGGGCACCCTGGAGCCCTGAGAACTCAACTGCCCATTCTCATAGTGGCAGGGCCAGCCGGAGGGTCTGAAAGGCAGGCTTTCCAGGCCCTAAACTCTGGCAGTACGGTGCTGCTTCCTGAGTCCAGCATCACAAGCTCTGACCCCAGTGGTCTGGGCCGGAAAATGAGACAGATGTCCAGAGGGTAGAGAAGCCTCTTGCCTCGTCTGCCCTGTTTCATTAATTTAGCACCGATTAATCACCCGCAGGTCCAGGGCACTTCAGCAAGCGAGAAAAAAAAGCCTCTCGGGACACAAGCAGTAACTAAGGGGACTGCAGAAGCCCTTAGGTGGCTAGCCAAGTGGCCTCCCCAGGGCGCTAGAGCCTGGAGATAAGCAGGCCCAGTAGGGAGTGGCAAGTGGTGAGTTCAAATCCAAGGTCCCTAACCTGCCCCGGTCCGGCGCCTGGGCGCCCACCTCCAACCCGGTCCCTGGCAGCTGGACCCGAGAGCAGCGAGTTGGGGTGGCAGGTCCGGGGAGAGCGGGGCGCGGGGGGGGGCGTTCAGGGGTGGCTGGAGCCAACAGAAGACACCCCACCTGTGCAAAAGCTGGAAAGGAAGGTAGGGGGAGCGGACATCGGGCACTGCTCACTGACCTGGCCACTGGCCTGCTCCGTCTTCCACGCGTGCACGCGCTCCGAGCTCCCCGGGGCGCTCCTCCGAGGTCTGGGGCTCGCAGGTTGTGGCGAGAGCTAGAGTGCGCGCGAGGGGGGAGGGAGGACTCAAAAGTGGGTGGGAGGAAAAACATCACCGCCCTCACACCACGAGGGAGCAGCGGCTCGCTAAGCTCCCGGGGGCAGAGCTTAGGCGCGGGCGCGGCGGCCCGGGGCCACCTGCCCGCCCGCTGCCCGCCGCCCGCCGTCCACTCCCCACTTGGCCGGAGAGGCCAGCCGCCCGGCGCAGACGGGAAGTCCGCGGGCACGCAGCAGCCGCCAGCCCGCAGCCCGGTCTCCGCCCCGGCACAGCGGCTTTCCTCCTGCTCTGCGGGCCCCAAAGTTAAGAAATCGGGAGAAAGTGTGAGGCTCAGCCGGCGACTTTCCCATCACGCAGCGCCCCCACTGCACCCCCCTCCTCTGGCTAAAACGGCGTTGGGGTCTTAAAGGGACCGCACCTCTCCTCCAGCCCCTCCTCCCCCTCAGCGCTGGAATGCACCTAGGAGCTCCCCATCCCTCGCGCGGGCGCTGGAGACCCCGGCTACCCTCTGACCTCCCTGTCTGGAAGCCCGCAACCCTTCTCCTCCTGAGCAGGGCCCCTCTGATTGCACCTGGTCCGGTCCTGAGCTGGTGCGCAGAACGCAGGAGGAGCTGGTCTCTAAAAACTATGCCCCAGCAAGCTGCTTATCATTTCGGGGGCGTTTCCCAAATCTACACCGGGGCTAGAAGAGTGGCAAAGTGTTGGTGTCCTTACACGCGGGGGGGGTGGGCGGGGGCTTGGGTGTCTGTATGAAGGGAGAAGGGATGATTTAGAAATCTGCTTCCTCCCTGTGCCCCATGAAAAGGGCATTTACCTTTAAGGGTCTTGAAGAAAACTTGGAGTGCCCCACCACAGCCGCCACTGTTCTAGCAGTCCCTGGGATTCGGAGTTGGACCAGGAACCCAGCCTTAAAATCACAATAGCACTGCGGCTAGTGCAAAGGTGTTTATTCGATGGACAGTAGTTACAAAGAATTCTCAGAATCCTCTAAGAGCCCCAGAGTGCTGCCTTGGCAGAAAGTACCCATTTATATTTTAAGCCCGTAAATTTGGAGGAGAGCTACAGGGATTTTTTTTTTTTAACATGGAACTGGACCATATTGATATTACTAACATCTATATATCTTTATGGCTTGCAGAGTACTTTTGTATACATCATCATTACTTTTTAACCCCTTACGACCAACTTTGAACTATCTGTGGCCTCAAGTGTCAGAGTCAGTAGGGATCTTCTGGACCATGGAGCTCAACATCTTCATGTCACAGAAGAGGAAATGGATGGGGTGGAGGGAAGTGATATGTCCAAGGTCATGCAGCTAGTAGATGACAGATTTGAGATTCCATGTCAGGGTTTCCTGACTTTCAACCCACTATTCTCTGATTGTTAACCTCCAGCCTAGAGAAGAGGAAATGGATGCTCAGGGAAATTGTAGCTTGCCCCAAAATCATATATCAGGAAAGTAAAACCAGAAAAATTGTCCCTGGAAATTACCTCCTTTTTCTTTCTTCAGAAGTGTTAATATCATCCAACTAACCCCTGCATTTGCTGGAGATGTTTATTTCACTGTTAACAAAGGAAAAAGGGCCCTTTCTAAAGTGTTGCCTTCAGGGTCCAAAATGTCTAGCTCCATCCCACTGTTTGGGTAGCCATACATTGCCACATGCATTCAATTTGTGCCGTAGTATATTAGTTTGAACTTGCTGATTTGTTGCCTTATAACTGTTCTCATGCCATTTAATGTGCTGATGTTTTGTCTCATGAGACTCTGAGTTCTTCGAGGCAAGGACTGGTTGTTCAATTTCCTTTGTATCTGTGTTCCCCAACTCCCATCGTCACTGCCAACATGCCTAGAGAGTATATATTCAGGAAAATGGGTTTCAGGAACTACAAACATGGATCCTAACATGGAAAATCAGTAGACTCACTGAAATTTATAACTCGTCTGTTTGGCTACAACCACTCACTCCCTGTACTTGATGTAATATTCTGATTACAGTGTAATAAACCATCCCAAAATCTAGTGGCTTAAAAGCTTAAAACAATTTTTTATAAAAAGCTTAAAACAATTTATTGTGATCAAATGGTTCTTTTCAACTGGGCAGTTTATGCTCAGGATCTCTTCTATGCTTAGAAACTATATAAGAAAGCTGCCAGAATTTTCTGAAAGGTTCTTCATTCGTGTAAATGCTGGTGGTCCTTGTATTAGTTGGTCTTGATTTCTGAATTGCAAACTCCAATTTGAGTGAGTCAAACCTAGACTTCCTATCAGGTCTTATTTAAACTAAACCAAGGATTATTTCCATGCCTTATTTTTTCCTATTAAATGGGGTTTAGAGCACAGATCATGTCATACTCCCTTCTTAAACTTTTTTATTTGAAGATTTACAATTGTAATAATTCGGAGGGATCCCAAATACCCTTCACCCCCCTCAATGGTAACATCATGCATAGCTGTAGTACAATATCTAGACAACCCATCCACCTTATTCCAGTTTTATCAGTTTTACACCACCCATTTGCCTGTGTGTATAGTTCTATGAAATTTTATCATGTGTTGGTTCATGTGGCCACTGCCACAGTCAGAATACTAAATAATGCCAGCACCATCAAGATTCCCAGTGTTCCTCTTTTACTCCCTCCTACTTTCTCTCCCCATCTACTCACTGGCAACCTCTAAGCTGTTCTCCCATCTCTGTAATCTTGTCATTTGTGAGTATGAGAAATCTAGTTTCTCTGCATTCTTGTCAACTTTTATTGTTGCCATTATTTTTTAATTTTAGCCTTTCCAATAGGTATATAGAGACATCTCATTGTGGTTGCATTTCACATTTTCCTAATATCTAATGGTATCTCCCGTTTTTTCATTTATTTATTTGACATTTATGTATCCTCTTCAGGGAATTGTCTTTTTGTTGCATTTTGCACATTTTTTCGTTGGAATGTTCTCTCACAGTTGAATTTTGAAAGTTCTTTATATATTCTAGATACTAGTTCTTTCTTGCATACATGATGTGAAAATAATTCCCGGTCTACAGTTTCTCTTCTCATTCTCCTCCAGTGGGCTTTCATAGAACAGGTTTTAATTTCAATGAGGTTCAATTTATCAGTTTTTCTTTTTATGAAATTGTGTTTTGATGTGAAGTCTAAGAACACTTTGCACAGCCCTACATCTCAAACAAAAATATTTTTCTTCCAAAAGTGTTATCGTTTTAAGTTTTACATTTAAAAAAAAAAGTTTTTTCCTTTAATCACTACACTCAACATGGGACTCGAACTCACAACCCCCAGATCAAAAGGTGCATGCCTTTCTGCCTGAGCCAGCCAGGTGCCCCTTAAGTTTTACATTTAAATCTATGATCTTTTTTGTGTTAATTTTTACACAGGTGTGAGACTTAGATCAAGGTTCACTTTTTTGCCTATGGATATCCAATTGCTCCAGCATGATTTGTTGAAAAAATATCTTCCTGCCATTGAATTACTTTTATACCTTAGTCAAACATCAGTTCGGCATATTGGTTTGGCTTTATTTCTGGTTTCTCTATTCTGTTCCATTGATCTATGCCTCTGTGTTCCACCAACAACACATGGCCTTAATTATCGTAGTCACATAGAGGCTTTAAAATCAACTAGAGTGGTTCCTCCCACTTTTTTCTTCTTTGTGAAGACTGTTTTAGCTCTTCTGAGTCCTGTACCTTCCTGTATAATTTTAGAATAAGCTTATCTATGTCTATAAAAATGTGCTCATATTTGGATCAAAATTGCATTATATTCATAGATGAATTCGGTGAGAACTGACAACTTCCATGTGTTCCATCTTTCCAATCCATGGACACAGTATGTCTCTCCATTTCTTAGGTCTTCTTTGATTTCATCCATCATGCTTTGTAGTTTCGAGCATATAGACCCTATACATGTTTTGTTTGGTTCATACCTACCTATTTTATTTTCTTTGGAGCAATCAGAAATGTTATTGTGGTTTTTAAAAATTTCTTGATTGAAGTAGAGTTGACAGAAAATGTCACATTATTTTCAGGTGTATAATATAATGTTATTGTGTTTTGATTTTGGTTTCCAGCATTTGTTGCTAGTGTATGTTAATGCAATTGCCTGTCTCTTGTGTCACAGTACTGTGTATTGCAGAACTTGTACTCTTCTGATTTTTTTCTAGTTTTATTGAGATATAATTGACATATAACACTGTATAAGTTTAAGGTGGGCAACATGAGAATTTGATATATTTATATATATTGTGAAGTGATTATCATAATAATGTTAACACATCTGTCCACTCACATAATTACAAATTTTTATATGTGGTAAGAACATTTAAGAGCTCTCTTAGCATCTTTCAAGTATATCATATGATATTATTAACTAGAGTCACCATGATGTACAACACACCATCAGAACTTGTTCATCTTATAATTGGAAGTTTGTACCCTTTAACCAACATCTCCCCATTTCCCCCACCCCTCAGTCCCTGGCAACCACCATTCTACTCTGTGTCTGAGTTTGGCTTTTTTTTTTCTAGATTCCACATAGAATTGAGATCATACAGCATTTGTCTTTCTCTCTCTGACTTATATCACTTATCATAATGCTCTCAAGGTCCATCCGTGTTGTCACAAATGGCAAAAATGAATGTGAAAGTAGACATACTGAGAATGCTGAATACTGAACACTGTTTTGATAATACAAATTTTAGCCTTTTAAATGCTTCTTGTTCCATTTGAACTTAGAAAAGTCAAGTTATTTGATTACTTTTCCAAACAATGGTAATACCCATAAAGATTGATGAGGAGTGTATTATGGTATAGGTTTGTGTCTTTATACAGAAAATCAGACTGACCTTGAGTTTGTATTAATCGGATACTTGATTCAATATTTAAAAGGGGACAAATCACTGTATAGACATTTTAGGGCCCTGAAGCTATATTTTAATATGAACCTCTTTATTACTTGCCTATGTGCTTGTGTGTTACTAAATTTTTGTCTCTTTATTGTATTTTCTTCCTGCTTGTCATTTCTAAAAAGTACAATAATATAGAATTTGTTGTCATTGGTGTGGTTCATCTGATATTTCCAGCTTTCCTCCTTTCAGGTTCATGGTCCAAATTTATCCCTCTTTCCTATTCTGGGTTGAGTTGGTCATCTGATTTGCTTTGGCCATTGAAATCAACAAAAATGATGTGTCACTTCTGGGTAGAAACTTTAAGAACCAATCCATCCCATTCCCTTCTTACCACCGCAGGAATCCTGAATACATATATTCAAATGAGG